ACTTGTAATTTCTGGGAACTTTGGCAAAAGATTTATTTCTTTATTTCAGATTTATTTATGCATACATAACTGGGGTATAGGCCAGAGGTGCAGGGAGTGAGAGGATTCACCGGAGACAGTGGGGATTCACCAGAGACAGTGCAGGGAGTGAGAGGATTCACCAGAGACAGCAGGGAGTGAGGATTCACCAGAGACAGTGGCTGACTGACTGAAATCCACTGCTGAAGGGAGCAGCAGGTGGGTCAGGAGAGGTCTGCTGTGCCATGTGGGTCATTCCCTGGCTGGGAATCGAACTCGTGCTGCAGTTGCTTGCTAACTTTCTATTTCTGTAACAATCTATTTTAATGATTGAATGTTAGTGTTTTATTACTTAACGTGTTTTATTAAGTTCCCTTTGCTCAGGATTTTAGTACATAAGTCATTAAATATACGGCATTATGTTTTAATCTCTTAAGAAATCAGGAATGGGCTCTGAACTACATTTTGAGCCAGTGGTTGTGGAGCAGTTGGATGTTTTCTGCTTCTTTATTCCCTGATTATTTGGGAAATGATAGTTCTTACGATTAGTTTAAGAATTCTGACATCTAGGACTCAGTGGCTGTAAGTACAGAGTTTTTATGTGACTCTTCTGTAATCTTAAGACCCTAACTTTTTTTTTTTTTTTTTTTTTTTAGTTTTATTTTTGTGTAGAAGAACTGGGGTTTTAGGGCAGAGGTGCAGGGGGGATGAGAGGATTCACAGACACAGAGCGGGGAGCAGAACAGGCAGATGGACTGAAAGACACATGCTGAGGGGAGCAGCGGGGAGACAGGAGGGATCTGTTGCGCCTGGTGGGTCACTCCCTGGCGGGGAGTCAGACTTGGGGTACAGTAACTATGGGCAGCTTCATAGTGCTGTGCTTTAACCCCTGGCTCCAGCAGAGAGGCCCATAACACAAATGTCTTGATAACAGTCTGATGAGTTTCTTTACATATGGTTGAAATTGTTAAGTGAGTATTTTGCTGTTCCATAGTTTGTGTAAGCTTGCTTAAAATTCCTGTATTTTGTAGTGTTCTTGTGTCTTCTGCTCTAATACAATTTGCATACAGAACTGGGTACAGGCCAGAGGTGTGGCTGAGAGGATTCACCAGACAGGGAGTGGGGAGCAGAACAGGCAGATGGATGAAGTACACTGCTGAGGGGAGCAGCTGGGAGAGACAGGAGAGGTCTGCTGCGCCCTGGGGGTCACTCCCTGGCTGGAGATTAAACTCTGAAATAGCTGCAGCTGGCTTCATAGTGCTGCGCTTTTAACTGGGTGGGCCACCAGGGAGGGCCCTGTTTTTATACATCTCACAACACAGTATTTGTTTAAAATGAAGTTTACTTGGGGAATATTTCTTCATTATGTTCCATGTAGGATCTGGAACCTGAGTTTGCGTCAGTTTTATTTTGATCCTATTCTGATTAGTTATTTTGATTTGGAGCTAAACTCTGTCTTAACGCCAATTTTTTCCCTCGTAGATGTCAGGTGGTTTGAGCCCCTGCAAGTTTTGACTTCTGTACTTACTCCTTTTGGGTGCTCTGATGTTAGGGTTAGAAATAACAGAAGTACCCATCAGGAGTAATGAGAGCTCTTTAAGATTTTTCTTACCAATGATTCGAAATATGGAAGTACTTTTAGTGTAGGCTAGCGCTCACGTTTAGCCTTGGAAAAAGAAAATATTAACAGATTACTTAGAAGTGCTAGTTAGGCATCCCTATTTTGTAGTAAAGTCATGGTTAATAGCATTTTCCAGGTAAACCTCACTTGGTTGGGCTGGTTGGGTGACTGCTTCAGCTATTTAGATGGGTGGGTGTGGTGTGATTTGTGTGATTGTATGGTGTGTGAAAGTAGACTGTGGAATGTTCTTTGCTTAGAAGCGGTGGCTTAAGTAATGATGTCTTAAAAGTCTGTAGCTGGGCCCTTCCTCGTGGCACGGTGGGCTAAAGCACAGTAGTAACAAGTTAGAGCCACGCCACCATGAGTTCCATCCCCGCCTGCCCCGGAGGTGACCATAGGGCGCGGCAGATCTCTCCTGACCGGCCCGCTGCTCTCCTCAGCAGTGGACTTTGTTGATCTGCCTGTTCTGCTCCCCACTCTGTCTCTGGTGAATCCTCTCGCTACCCCTGCACCTCTGGCCTGTACCCCAGTTTGTGTGCATAAATAAACCAATCTATTAAAAAAAAGGCCGTAGCTGGATTGATGCAGCGATGTGGTGGTGTCTTCAAAGCCCGGGTCTGCCCTGCCGCCACACAGCCTGCTCTGAGAACTCAAGGCTGAGTGCTCAGGGCCGCCCTGCAGCACCTAGAGGTTTCTGGAAGTGCCGATGGGAGGGGGGTTGGTGCTTCTGGTGCCAGCTGCTTTTATAGAGAAGTTTTCTAGGAACATTCTCTTGCCCCAGCTGAGCTTTTCTCAGTTTCATTGGCAGAAATGAGATTCCTTGGTCCCCTCCATATGGAAGAACCTGGCACAGTGAGGCTCTGCCCCTGAGGGGTGATGGCATTGGCTGCACACTCGCTGTCTGCCCAGGGTGCTGAGAGGGCTTTGCTGTCCTGAGCTAAACGCACTGGATGTTTTTTGGCCCAGGTCCTTCTGTGTGAAACCGAGATTAATTCTTTTCCCTCTTACTTCTGTGGGAATGTTGGCCTGCCTGTGGCTGCCTGACCTTCACTTACTACACAGGTAACATGAATTCAAGACACCGTCTCATCAGAGGTCGAGGGGAAATACTTATGCGCAGAAGACAGCAGATTTACTTAGTGCACATCGCATTCTGTGCTTTGTTTGCGCTGTGGGACTGGCGTGATTCGTGACTGCTTGCGGGATCACTAGTTTCGAACGCAGAGTAAAGGCCAGAGAGGTGCATATTAAAGGAATCCAGTGCTTCTGGGGCCTGATTACATTCGTTTCTCATCCTTTCTTTGTAACTCGCAGCTGGTCAAGGTATGCGGCCGAGCGCTCTGTCTGCGTGGCCGCCCTGGCTGGCTGAGGCGCTCGGCAGCAGTCCTGGCGTGCCCTGGCCCACACTGTAGCCCTGCTTTCTGACGTGCTGTGGCAGCAAAGGGGACAAGAAGGCGGGAGACCCACTGTGGCCACGGGGTGGACTCAGTCCTGGCCTGCTCCTGAGGTCCCCGTACAGCTGGCTCGCTCACCGAGGAGCTGAGGCAGAGACTTCCAGTGGCACGCCTGGGGCTGGGAAGATGTTGAAAACATTATTCTACTGATGCTAGCATTCTTTTATGTTCAACTTTTTTTTCGTACTGGTTAACTTTTATTTTTTAAAATTGAGATACAGTTGACATTTAACAGCTTCAGGTATACGACATGAAGATGTTATTTGTTTTTTATTTATTTATGCATCCACGAATGGGGGTTCAGACCAGAGGTGTGAGGGGTGAGAAGAATTAACCAGAGACAGAGTGGGGAGCAGAACAGGCAGCTCCACTGAAATTTTCTCCTGTGGGGAGCAAGCAGCGGGGTGACAGGAAGGGTGCTGCGCCCTGTGGTCACTCCCTGGCCAGCTAAGGGTCCACTTTGTACTACGATAGATCGATAGCACTGTCTTTCACCCCTGTGCCACCAGGGAGGCCCTGAGTCTGAGTTTTTATTGAGTATTTTTTAGGTGAGGGTGAGTTTTCACATCCTCTGGATCCAGGTCCTTTGTCAGATACATGCCTTTGCCAATATTTTCTTTCATGTGGGTTGTCTTTGCATTCCCCTAATAGGAATGGATTCTTAGTTTTGATGAAATCTGATTTATTGATTTGTTCTTTTTTGGGTTTAGTTGTTGGCATCATTGGAAATCTTAGCCCAACCCTAGGAAATAAATGTTTTCTTCAGTATTTTATAGGTCTTACAGTTTTAGGGTACACATTTAGCTGTGTGATCTGTCTTGAGATAATTTTTGTTTGTGGTGCAATGTATGGATACAAATTAAATTATTATTTTTTATTTTTAGAATTATTTATTCATATAGAACTGGGGTACAGGCCAGAGATGCGAAGGGTGAGAGGCTTCACCAGAGACAGAGCGGGGAGCAGAACAGGCAGATGGACGAAGTACACTGCTGAGGGGAGCAGCGGGCGGGTCAGGAGAGGTCTGCCTTGCCATGTGGATCTCCTCTGGGGCAGGCGGGAATCGAATTCATACGGAAGTGGCTTAAGCTTCTTAGTGCTGTGCTTCAACCCGCTGCGCCACAAGGGAGGGCCCAAATTATTTTTTGAGGAAATGACTAGCCAGTTGTAGCATGAGTTCTTGAATCGGTAGTCTTTTCTCTTTTGGATGTCTCCGCACCTTTGTCAGAAAGCATTTATCTTTATGAGTGACTTGTAAATTCTTTGTTCCATTAATCACTTTCTCTTTATGCCAGTACCATGCTGTTCTGATAACTATAGTTTTATAAGAATTTTGAAATCAGGTATGGTTACTTGGTTCTTTTTCAACGCCGCTTTGTACTTGTAGAATTTTAGAATAAGACTACCACTTTCTATTAAAACATGCTGGGAGCCCTCCCTGGTGGCAGAGCAGGTTAAAGCACAGCACTAAGAAGCTAAAGCTGCTTCCGCGTGATTTTGATCCCCGCCTGCCCCAGAGGTGACCACATGGCGTGGCACACCTCTCCTGACCCTCCTACCTGCCTGCTGCTCCCCTCTGCAGTGTACTTTGTCGATCTGCCTGTTCTGCTCCCCACTCTGTCTCTGGTGAATCCTCTCACACCCCTGCACCTCTGGCTTGTACCCCAGTTCTGTATGCACAAATAAATTAATCTTTTGAGAAGAAAAAAAAAAAACTTGCCGTGGGGGCTTGGTTTGGGTTACTCTGAATCTGTAGGCCAGCTTACTGTTTACTTAGGTTTTTAATTTCTCTAGGTTTTTAATTTCTCTTAGCAGTGGTTTGCAGTTTGTTTGTACTTGGTTTTTACTTGTTTGTCAGACATCCAAAGTTTTTAATATTTTTTGATACTGCTGTAAACAATGTGACTTTGCAAACTTTCTCTCCACCCAGGTTTTGTCCAATAAGCATGTGGCTCCTGATCACCTGTTGCAAATCTGTCAGCGCATCGGCCCCATGCTGGACAAAGAAATCCCACCCAGCATTTCAAGAGTCACTTCCTTACTTGGTGCAGGAAGGCAGTCTTTGCTACGTACAGCAAAAGGTACCTTAATTTGAAGAAGTGTTCTGCTTTGTATTACTAGTTTAATAATTATACTTTGTGAAGTAATGTAAGCATTGTGGAAGAAAGGTGATAATGTAACTCTAACCCATGCTGTGGACTCTTTAACATTCTCTGCATTTAGCATAGATGTTGAATTTTATTACTTAAGTGTTCAGTGGGTCCTTCATTAAAAGAAAATGATAAAGGTATAGATGTTAAGCTAAAAACCTGCAATTTTGAGATGTGTTTGAAGTTTTATCAATGTGAGTTCTTAATTTTCCATTTTGTAGCTCACTTATAACTTCATTGGATGTAATTGTATGTGTCTAATAAACTCTTTAAATGCTAGAAGTATTTCACTTGGTATTTAGATTCTGAAAGCCCTTTGTTATAAGGGAAAGTGATTTCCTAAATTTGGTAGCAGTTTGAAAACAAGCACCAAAAATGTACAATTGCATGGTTCTTTTTTTCAGTGACTTAATTTTATTGCAAAGTTATGTGGTAGCAACATGTGTGGAATTGCTGTTCCTCTCTGTTAGCGTGGTATGAACCGCTTAGACTCAGTCTGTGTATGCGCTGTGACCTGTGTATCAACATGGCTTGACTGCTAGTGGCTAAGAGTGTCGCCTGTTCTGACCCTGAGCCCACCGCAGCTGGTGCCCAGGGGTGACTGGGAGCTCTGCCGCCTCCTGGTGCACAGCCGGTCCGCAGCTTGACCCAGAGGGAACCGGCTGGGCCGCACTTGCCGCTCAGGGCCCCTTCCTCTCCTTGGCTTCGGTGTCCCACTGCCTGTGAGCGCTCTGTTCAGGCTGTTCTATAGTAGTGGCCTGGGTCGCCCGTTCTCTTGTTTTCTTTGCCGTGTCAAGCTCAGTGTCGTTTTGCAACGAGCACCGCGGCAGACCTGGCGGCCGGGCGGCCACTTGTGCCGCTGCCCGCTGCCTTCCTGGATCGGGCGCGCCTGCGACGCGCGCTGCCTGTCTCTGGGGCACCCGAGGCTCTGAGGAGGTTCAGTATCCTGCCTCCTCTGCGCTCTGCGCAGGGCAGCCTAGAGGGGCAGAATTCCTGGTGTAGTTGCTGGTAGGGCAGAGGAGTGGGCTTCGGCGTCGACTCTCAGTGCTCTCGGCAGAGGGTTGGCTGTGACCCTAAAACAAGTGGAAAGCCACTTGTTTTTACCTTGCCAGTATTTCCTGAGGACATTAAAGTCATGGTAATAGTGGCCAAAATGAATTTTAAAACTCAGTGACATTTAAGCAAGCTAATTAAATCAAGAATTTTCATAGAAGTTAAAATTTCCCCCCAAAATTCCCATATTTGAAAAGTGGGACACTTGTGATCGAGACTACGCGTCCTTCATCTTGTCTATTTCTGCATTGGGGAGCAGCTTCCTTGACACTGAACGGGACTTGGAGGCCAAGGGTCTGCTTGTGGCCTCCCTTTACTGATCGGTTGTGGGAATCTTCCCAGGGTCCCCAGAACCTGTGAGCCTCAGTTACCTCACTTACAGGTTGGCGATGACACCTACCTCACAGGGTTGTTGTGAGGACGCAATGAGATGCTGTATGTGGAAAGCACTTTGTAACTTGTACAGTGCCACACAAATGCTAGTGGTGTTGTTGTAACTGAGCTGTCTTAATTTTTTTCCTTCAGAAGTAGTTGAATAAACCTCTAGGGCTTTTCTGTTAAAAGTATAGTAGATGGTAAAACTTTGAATAAACAGTTTATTGCAATATACGTAAGTATTCTATAAAATCTTTCTTGGGGTTCACTTTCAAGATTTTATGTGTATCTAAAATTCATTTTAAAGACTGCAGGAACACAGTCTGGAAGGGCTCTGCCTTTGCTGCTCTTCACAGAGGAAGACCTCCCGAAATGCCCGTGAATTACGGTTCCCCACCAAATCTTGGTAAGTGAGGTTGGCCTTTCAGGTGCTGAGCACCGTGCTTGACCGCTCTTGGCCAGCTTGATAGCGGCTCTGTTCAAATGGAAAAGGAAGCCCCGAGAGTAGTGTTGTTTCAATAGGAACAAAAACGTTGTCAGTCTTGCTGTTTTCTAAAATAATTGCTAAGTGTGATAAAAATGACAAAAGTTTATGGTAGTGAGGATAGTGAAATAGAGCTGGGAACAAACTTGTGTCCTTAGGAATTCTTGAACATAGATTTTGTGACCCTCTAGAAAATGTGTTCGAGATTTTCTTAACGTTTTACTTATTAACTCTCCCTTAACCATTTTTGTTATTTTTATTTCCTAGTGGAGATACATCGAGGAAAACAACTCACAGGGTGTTCCACTTTTAGCACAGCATTTCCAGGAACTATGTATCAGCACATAAAAATGCACAGGAGGATTCTGGGACATCTGTCTGCTGTTTACTGTGTAGCATTTGATAGGACAGGACATAGAATATTTACAGTGAGTTAATGCTTTTAAATTCAATTTGGTATCACGTGGAGCACTCTAGTGAGCATCAGAGCATTTGGGAAATCTTACAAATGTGTCACTTCTGTGCTTCCCTTTCTGGGGTTTTAACTCAGTGGGTCTGAGGTCTGGGGCCCATGCGCTTGGGTTTCTATTAAGAATGTCATTGATTCAGATTGCCGAGCCTTGTGAGATATCTGTGAGGCCTTGACTTAGAGCAGTGGCTCTGGGCGTCGTCACTGGGAGTGCTTCACCACCTGTGGGCCTGGCATTTTCCCCCGGCCCAGTGTATGCCTACTCAGGTTAATCTGTAGCGTGTGTGTTCGGCAAAACCCAACCAACCCAGATCTCTACAAGTGGCTCACGTTAGCCACTGGTCCAGAGAAATGGATTGATTATAAAACGATAGTTTAGGGCTCCAGTGATTTTAAAACTACATGTGAATATTTGGAATTTAATTTACTGTTTTAATGTTTAAGGGGAGTGAGGGTGGGTGAGAAGTTTAAATTCATTTTCCAGTTGAGATTCAAAGTAAATGACCTGAAAGTTTGCTGAGGCGTGGATGGGTGCTGGCTGGTGCTCCAAGTTTGAGACTGCTGTTTGCTTATTTGAATGAGGGCATGTTTCTGATTTTTTAGATGTGGGATTGCCATTTATGCTTGTTTCTCAGCTGTGAAATGCAGGTCTATTCTAAAACTCTCCCAGCTAAGTGTTGTATCAGCTAACCATTTAAACACTAGTTGAAGTAGGTAAACTGTGAATTTTTAGTGAACTTATTATTTGGCCAAGACTTTTGGTAAAATAGTATTTGTAATGTGATCTGATCCATAGAAATCGCTAACCGCATGTTGTTTTGTAGCTACTATGTAGTTTGAGGACACATTGTGTCATCTGGCCATGACCTTTGTAATTCCCAGTGTATGCTACAGCTACAGCTAGCAAGAGACGAGTTGTGGTCCTTCATTTGAGTGACCTGTCAGCGGTGTTCTTTTCAGTGTCGTCGAAGACTTGTGCACTAGCATTTATTTTGGGGTATATTTTCTTCTTAGGGTTCAGATGACTGTTTGGTGAAGATTTGGTCAACACATAATGGCCGCCTGCTCTCCACACTAAGAGGTCACTCTGCGGAAATCTCAGACATGGCAGTAAACTATGAGAATACAATGATTGCCGCAGGGAGCTGTGATAAGATAATCCGAGTGTGGTGCTTGAGGACTTGTGCCCCGGTTGCTGTGCTCCACGGCCACACAGGGTCCATCACATCTCTGCAGGTAACTAGCTGTGGTGTGCACACTTGTGGGATGTCCACTTTTCCTTAAAGCCACTGCTGCTTTGGACTTGCCTGCGGGCTTGAGCACGGCTGCCGGCTCCCTCTAGGATTACGGTCGAGTGAACGTCAGTTACAAACTGGGGTGTGTTAGTGATGCTTGTACTTTAAAACCTGATAAGTTGATATTTGCAGAAATACATTTACATTTCTTCCACTTCTGCATGGAATATAATTCTTTGCATATTTATCTTGGTTTACACATACATTTATATTGAAAGGTTGGTTGATATATGCATACAAAACGGGTACAGGCCAGAGGTTTGGGAGGGTGGGGGTGAAAGGACCGAGTGGAGAGCAGAACTGGCGGATGTACTGAATCCACTGCTGAGGGGAGCAGTGGGCAGGTCAGGAGAGGTCTGCCACGCCCTATGTGTCACTCCCTGGCCGGGGATCAGACTGGTGCTGCTGTGGCCGTGGTAGCTTCATTGTGCCACGCTTTAACCTGCCGAGCCACCAGGGAGGCCCTTTCTTTTTTTTTTAAAGATTGACTTACGCATACTTATGCATACAAGAACTTCGGTACAGGCCAAAGGTACAATGAGTAAGAGGATTTACCAGACTGAGTGGGGAGTGGAACAGGTGGATCCTGAAACCCACTGCTGCGGGGAGCCACGGGGAATCAGGAGAGGTCTGCTGCGCCCTTTGGGTCACGTTGGGGCAGGAGGTTGCGCTCTCACTGCAGTGGCTGTGTTTCTCTTGCAGTGCTGCGTCCTGACCTGTTGTGCCACCAGGGAGGGCTTATTTCGCTGTCTTAAAAGATCAGAATTCCTTTTTTCAAAAACAGCGACAACATTGTGGATGTTCAGATTTCTAGTTCTCTCATAAGTCGTGTTATAGTTAGTTTGCCTTGGGACCCAAGCAAAGCTTCCGCTCAACAGCTAGTTGCCGTAGAGTAAAAATGTTAAAACGCATCGTACACCACTGCCCACATGTTCTCTGTAGCCCCATTGCCTGTTTTCTTTAAGGAGCCGATTGTTTATTGTGCACAGTTTGCACAAATTGTGTGTTTGAGGAGTTCCTATGGTTGGTTGCCATTCGCATCTTTCCAGAGTCGGTTTGTAGGTCTCCCTGTCAGGATTAGCAGTTCTCTGTACTGCAGTGGGAACGGCTGGGAGGCTTGCCTGAGACGCCTGTTGTAGGGAGACTCACATCAAGGGTCCTACCTACTCTGATTTCCTAAGTCGGCGTGGGCCTGCGTTCGTGACAAGGTCCGCATGCCGCGGCTGCCACCCCAACCACCTCCCCCTCGGAATCCCAGTCTCGAATGACATCACTTCACGCACCAGGTCTCCTGGGTGGGCCTCGTAGTGCCCTTCGCGGCACAGGCAGGCTGTGGGGAGGACAGACCTGCGTCCTCAGGCGGGAGCGCGGTAGCCCAAAGGGTGACTGGGTCAGCAGGGTGAGTTTGCACACGGCAGCAGTAAAATGGCCCAGACAGCGCTGGACCTTGCAGCGCATGCCACTTCTCAGGGTTCAGTATGCGGCGCTTCTGTGGACATTGTCTGAGTCAGTTCTGTGACAGTGGTGTGATGAGGCCCTGAGCTCATTCATGAGAACTGCACTAATGTAAATGAACAGAAACTTCTGCTTGACCCATGCATCACAGGAGGAGCCTCAGTAGAAATTTGAGGGTATTTTTGACTGATTAACGATCAGAATGTTTCATGAAAACCTCACATGCTGTACCTTGCAAGCTGTGGTGCTTGGTAGCCAGCTGTGACGGTGACACCCAGCAACTCCTGCCTCCTGGTCCTCACACCCCGGAGGTCTCCGCCGAGGAGGGTGGCCCGCGTGGCCCGAGACAGTGATGTAGTGTGACTCCGGTGTGAGAGTAAAGGAAGCTTCTGTCTTCCTCTCTCGGCTCCGTCGTCTCGGGCCAGTTCAGCCATCGTGTTGATAGGACATTTCTGTGGAGCAAAGGTTCTCGTGACAAGGAGGTGGGGTGTTGCCGCAGCGGCTGGCATGAGTCATCACCCTTCAGGAGTGGCCTCCTGGACTGTGCTCACTGCTAACCTGTCACCTCACGAGACCGGAGCCAGACCTAACCCAGGTGAGCTGCTCCGGAATCTGGACCTGTGGAGACTGCAAAATAATGAATTTTCATCACTGTGTTGGTAGCTGAATTTTGGGGTAGCTGTTGCGTAGTGGATGAGTAACGCAGCTGGAGCTGCGCATGCGGGGATGTTGATAGCCTCGATGTTTATGTTAAAAAAAGGCTAAACATCTGTGACTCAGTGTATCTGTCAGGAAATTAGAGAAATACCGGAAACAGTAGGGAAGGAGGTGATTTCATGAGGCCATTAGCCAAGTACAGACAGAAATTAAGGGTGGAAGAATAGGCGTCACGATAGGAACAACCAAGCTGCCATTGTCTGGACTCCTTAGAGGTGTTGGTTTACGACTGGGATGAGTCAAGGAACAAAGAAAGAAATGTTATAAGTAACTGTAAGCCCATTTGTAAGCGAGATATCACTGTTGTCCCTTTAGGCATGAGGGGGAGGATATTTTAAAAACCTTATACAGGAAATTTGAAAATTTATGTAAGGTAGGTGTCAACATGTAGAAAAATACCAGGACTAATGAAAAGTCTGAGTAAACCTGTAGCTGTGGTATGTGTGGTACCTGTAGTTAAACTCATTTTCCAGCTATTCGTGTTTCTCTTCAGCATGTTAGCCTGAGAATCTCATGAATAAGCAAGCAAGCAAAACCAAATTCAGAAACAGCATGTGGAGTAAATACTCTCTAGCCTTCAAAGGTTTAGATTTAAGATGGCAAAAACGAAGAATGTTCAAAGAGAACTGGGGAAAATGTGAGAACTCTAAATGCAGTTTGACTTGGAGTCCAGCCTGTGGGAGAGAAAGCCTGTCCAGGACATTGGGGCAGTTGGGCCATTTCACTGTGAGCTGCGTGCTGCGTGGTCACTGTCCAGGCGCCTGCCCACGAGCGACCGCCAGGCCCGGCGGGCTGGAGCGTGCCAGGGCTGGGGTGGCCCTCTGCGCCTGGGGCTCGGTCTGTATCAAGGGGCGACTGCAAAGCACTTCCTGGGGGGCCTGGTACCTGGTCCGTGAGTGCTCCTGTGTGTGCTCACCTCATGCTAACAGCTAAGGAGGTATTTGGGGAAAACCAGCCCCGCCCTGGGCGTGCACCTGTTCCACATGGGCGATACACCGGTGGCCAAGAAAGGCAGAAGTGGATATTGGGGAGGAGAGCTAAAATGCTCATTTCACAGGTCGCTTGCTTTCTGAAAGCAAAAGGATTGATTGAAAAAAACCCCACAGTGTCCTGCTGTCTTACACGGGGTCGCAGCGGGGGTCATGGCCACTCAGTACTGTGGTTGCCTCTCAGATGATTCCAGTGCAAGCTTGCTGTTGCGTGTTGTGTGCATCTTTCGGTGTGCACTGCTTCACGCCTGTGGGCACACAAGGCGGTGGCACGTCAGCAGTGCCAAGGTGACAGTTGAGTGCCTTGGGGACTGAGTCCTTTAATGGCAAAGTACAGACTAGGCATCGGTGACTCTGTTATATGCCTTGTGAAAGTGGAAGTCAAATAAATTCACAGGCATTATAAATACTAGTCAGTCACTTGAAATGTGTAATTTCCTTTTTTTTAAAAATACATGTAAAAAGATTTTTCTTTATTCATACAGAGCTGGGGTACAGGCCAGAGATGCAGGGGGTAAGAGGACTCACCAGAGACAGAGCGGGGAGCAGAACAAGCAGATGGATGAAGTACTCTGCTGAGGGGAGCAGCAGGGAGACAGGAGAGGTCTGCTGTGCCCTGTGGGTCACTCCCTGGCAGGAGTGTTTCTGATCTATCTTACCTAGTGTCATCCCATCCAGCTCCATCCATGTACCGCAATAATATGTAGCTGTCAAGAAAAATGCTAAGACTTTGGAAGTAGACTGGGGAGATTATAGTATCGATCATAAAGCCAGGAAGAACTTGGAGACATGGTAGTGTACACTGTTTCCTTAATGCAGGGTTCTTCGAGCCCATTTAGAAAAGTGAGGTTCTCCTAATATCTTGAGCGCATGTTGTTAGGGAGTGGCCTGAAGGACACAGAAATGGCAGAGGGAGCTGCGTAGCTTACACATTCCTGCTGGGCACTGAAGAGAAATCTGTGAGAAATAAAAGCAGGCCAGGCTCAGAGTCACTGGTGAATTAGTTCAGACCCACTGAGAGCTTAGTGAAGTGGAGAGAGAGGGCTCTCCTCTGCTGAAACCAGAGCTTCACGCCGTCGGGAGCCGCACAGATAGAGCCGAAAGCCCCATAACTCGTGTGAAGGGGTACAGTTGTTTTTTTTTCCATGAGTGTCTTCTTTTTAATGTAGGTAATTTTACCACTCTTTCTCTCTATGCAATATTTGCTTTCCCATCTCGGGTGTGGTCGCCATAAAGTCCCCCCAACCATCTGTGCACCATTGCGAGTCCTATGTTCCCCTCTCTCCCTCCCCTCCAGAATGTCTCTGATTTATCTGCCTGCTAATTTTGTTTTTTTATTTACTATGATGTCTTTAACCTCATCCTGTCTTTGCGTCTCCTGCATTCCTCCTGTGAGTGAGACCGCCTGGCTGTCCCTTTTCTTCCCGCCTCAGGTCACGAGCACGGTCCCTCCTGCTCCGTCCCGGCGCCGGCAAGGCCACGCGCTTGTCCTTCCTGGCTGCCGAGTTGCGTCCCGCTGTGTGTACGGTCGCCGTCCTCCTGACCCAGTCGTCGCCTGTTGCAGGCGGTCGGGGTGTCCCCAGCCTGGGCTGTGGCGAGCGGCGCCGCAGGGAACACAGGGGCGTGGGCATCCTTCGGGTTGAAGCTTCTGCGCTCCGTGGGTCGGTCCCTCGGGGTGGACTGGCTGGGTCAGGTAGCTGCATTTCCAGCAGTCTGGGCCCTCCGGGCGCTCACAGCGGCTGCAGCTGCTTGCGCTCCCACCAGTGTGGAGAGTTCCCCTTTCTCCACATCCTCCCGGCTTGTGGTGTTCTGTGGTGTTCGTTTTCTGTAGGTGCCTTCTCACCGTGCGAGGTGTCTCTGCTGTGGTTCTGATTTGCATTTCCCTACCACAAGTGAGCTGACCTTTTGCATACACCTGCTGGCCATTGGCATTTCCTCTTGGGAGAAGCGTCCGAAGCTCTTCCGGCCACTTCTGACTGGGCTGCTCACGGTGTCTCCGGTGAGCCAAGTGCGCTGTGATCAGCCCCTTCTCCCTTGTAGGCAGCAAGTGTTTTTCTCCCGACCAGGGTGTCTCTTTGTTTCGGTTACCATTCTTCCGCTGTAGGGACGCTTTTCAGTTTGATGAAATCCCAGGTGTTAAACTTTTCCTTCCTTTCTTTGCTTTAGGGGATGAGTCTTTAAAGCTGTTACTGAGAGGTACCATGTGTAGTGTTTTACTTATGTTTTCTTCCAGTACCATATGGTTTTAATTATTATGGCTTTGTACTATTGTTTGAAGTCTGGGAGTGTGATACTTCCATTCTCTGAAGGGATAAATTTTGACAGGAAATGTCGAAAACTTTATATGAAGGTGTGAAAGTCCTGACAAAAACTATGGACAGGGCAAAATCTCAGTGCAAATTTCTACTGGGTGCCTGAATTGGAAGGCTGTTGTGAACATATCACGTATCTCCAAGTCCTGGTGTGACATACTTGGCGCTTTTGAAGCCCTGGCTGCTCTGTTGGCACCTAGGAGGCCACCTAGGTTAAGTTCAGAAAGAATCACACACAGCCCTCTCACCCTGTCCTGCTGGGTGCCCGAGTGTGCCACGCAAGTGCTGCACAGAACGCAGTATGGTGTCTGCACATGGCGAGTCAGTCTCGAGTCAGACTCCACCGATGCCACCATGCCTGTGGCGTGTGGTTTGCCCTAGAACACTTAGAGGAAGTGTCCGTTCCCTGACAGGCAGGTTTAGAATTTTCAAAGCTACTTACAAAGATAGAATTTGATCAGGTTTTAATGAATAGGAATATCCAGTTAATATAACATTTTTAACAGGAAATTCTCAGAAATTTAATTTTAGTCTAAATTGTGGAATATCCACTTTGATATCAGTAAATAATCACTTTGAACATTTCAAAAGCCTTTCCCTTCTTCCCAGCTCTTTTCTGCTGTTGGCAGTATAGGTGTTCGTCTGCTCAGCCCCTTGGCATGTCTCCAGTGGGCACAGCTCCTGAATTCCTGCCCATTCTGGGGAAGGGCGGAGTGCTGCTTGCAGTTCGGGTCTTGGGTTCCGTGGGCGACTTGGGTCTCCTGTTGGCGGTCAGTGACTCCTCCTCGGTGGCTGTCAGTATAGCTGCTCTCGGACACATCTTTTGTTGCTGTCACTGTTTTGCTTGAGAACTACAGCTGCCTCTTTGCTCTGACTCCAGCCCTTGGATTCTTTCCCCCATCTCTCCCTGCTCCCTGAGTCCTCTGCGTGGGGCCCTACAAGCCCTCCCGGCCTTTCTGGGTCCATTTTTCTCTCCCTGGCTCGTCTCTGCAGCTCAGCTGGCCCTTGGTGGCGTGCAAGTGTTCACCTGGTTCTGGAATTACAGTATGATTCTTGGTTTTCTTGTAATAATTGTAGGGCCTGAGTTTTGAAGGACTTGGATTGCTGATGTACTTGGAGTCTGTCTCGGTGTACACGCCAAGGAGTGGCTTCTGCTCCCTAGATACCCCTTCACCTTTTCCCGCTTTTCTGTCACTGACATGTTTTTTCTGACATTGTTGTCCACGTCTGTATAGTAACTGGCCTCTCCTGCCCTCCAGCACCGGTCACCGCTATCCCTTCTTCACCTTTTCTACAGTGATCTGAGCTTCCACAGTGGGGTGAGGGGACACCTTTATCTTCTTGAAAGTTTCCTACTATGTGGTTCCCACCGGTCATCACGTTGCTGGTCATCTGCTGTGCTCCGTGTGCCCACTGGTGGCTTTGTGATTCGCTTTACTATTGGACAGAGCTGGAGTTTTCACCTCGAAAAGCTTTTCAGGTTCTTCATGATTATTTTGAAAATGGTCTTTTGTTGATATCATATTTTTTAAAAGACTTACTTTTTAAATGGATAGTTTTTGTCTCTGACTTTTTTAAAGATTTATTTATGCATCCAGAGCTGGGGTACAGGCCAGAGGTGCAGGGGATGAGAGGATTCACCAGAGAAGAGCGGGGAGCAGAACAGGCAGACTGAGGAAACACACTGCTGAGGGGAGCAGCAGCGGGACAGAAGAGGTCTGCCGCATCATGTGGGTCACCTCCGGAGTGGGAGATTGAACTTGTGGTGAAGGGGCTATGGCCAGCTTTGCAGTGCTGTGCTTTAACTTGTTGCGCCACCAGGGAGGGCCCAAGATTTATTTATTTATACACACAAGAATTGGGGTACTGACCAGAGATGTGGGGAGTGAGAGGCTTCATCAGAGACAGAATGGGGAGCAGAACAGGTGGACTGACTGAAATATTCCACTGAGGAGAGCAGCGGGAAGATAGGAGGGGCCTGCTGCCCCCTGTGGGTCATTCCCTGGTGGGAGATTGAACTCGTGCTGCAGTGGCTGTGGACAGCTTCATGGAGGCTAAGATTTAACCAGTTGTGCCACCAGGGAGGCCCAGAGATCATATTTTTTGTTTATAAATTGGAGATAGACTTTTGTATAGATCATAATTTTTCACGATAGCCTCATCTGCATTTTGGATTTCTTATATTTTAGCATTGACGTTAACTTCGAAAATCTGTTGATTATGTCAGCACGAAAATTCAGGAAACTGAATTGTGTGTGTTACTGCTTTCTAGTTTAGCCCCATGGCCAAAGGCCCCCAGAGATACATGGTCTCCACTGGCGCGGATGGGACCGTTTGCTTCTGGCAGTGGGATCAGGACTCGCTCAAGTTCAGGTGAGTGGCTTCACTGTGCGATCAATTTTCTTCTATGGCATCACTGAACCTAGTCAGGTGTGGTTATGAAGAGAGGTGCTGATTGTTTACTTCCAAAGTTAATTTTATCATCTGCACTATAAACATCTGACTACTGGCCGTCACGGCTCGCTGTTCAGACAGGTGGGCACAGCGGGGAGACGCTGTCTCGTCTCAGTGTGTGCACTTCTGTGAGAAGAGATGAGGGGAGGTGCAGTGTGTGGCAGCATTCTGAAGTGTCACAGACACAGTCAGATCCACTGGTGACTTGGGCAGGGTCACTGAGGGGTCGTAGGCCTGCCGGTCGGTGTGCCCTTAGCTTCCTGTGCTGTGGGTGATGTCACTGAGGGATGGAGATGTGGTTTCTATTGAGAACTGGTCTTTGACTCACTTATTCCAGAAATGTCCAGCCTATTTCAAAATACCTTGAGTATGCAGTTTCCAACTATGTGATCTGAATACTGATCAAGTAATTTTGACTTGGTTAAAGTGCATATTCAATATATGATGGAAGATTTCAAAGATATGTGAAAGAAAGACTCAAACTTCTTGTTAAAATGTTGCCAATACTGATGTGATATTTTGGGAATATCAGTTTAAATGAAATAAAACTCTTTACTTTCTGTGTGACAACTAAAACTTAAAGTTTGCAGGTGTGACTTCCTTCCATTTCTGCTGGCTAATGTGCCCCTGGGTTGTTCAGGGGCCTGCCCTCAGCCTTGATGCCGGCTCCCCGGGCCCTGAGCTCTAACCCTCTCCCAGCAACCGGCACCCGACCTGCATGTGTCTTGGTATCGGGGCCGGGGGGAGTGTGGCCGCCCATCCTGCCGGGGCCGGTCTGTTACTAAGGTGGAGGGAACGGGGTGCTGTGCGCTGCAGAAAGAACTAAGGTTAGATACTACTTGAAAGTGCTAGATGAAAACCAACATTGTAAGCCACATCTGTGTATTAAACTAACGTATTTTAAACACGTTTTTAAAGCCCACGTCCCCTGAAGTTCACTGAGAAGCCAAGACCAGGCGTTCAGATGCTCTGCTCTTCTTTCAGCGTTGGTAAGGGACCCTCAGGCCTTTCCCTCAGTTAATACTCCCCTGTGTTGAATGATGACACTGTCACAAAGACCCCTGTGATGGAGGGTAAATGCCTGTGTTCATCCCATCACGTGTGTGTGGCGTTGGTCATGTATCGGCCCCTTCCTAGTCGTCCTCACCCTTCTACCGTCCTCGGGTTCCTGTCGCCCGGAGTTGGTGGTCGGCAGGAAGGAGGCTGCAGTTACCCTTCTCCCTCTGCCCCGTGTGTGAGAGGCCAAAATCAGAATTTTCTTTTAACCACTGAAACTGCATGTTTTTGGTAGTTTAAATTGTTTCCTACACATTTGGGTGCATTTATTCTCCATTTTCTTTTCTCGACGGTGAACTTGTGTGGACGCCTCTTCTTTTTAGGAGAGGTCACAGACTTCTCCCCTGACAACTTCCAGCAAGTGAACTTTGTCATCCACAGCTAGGAGTGTGGGTGTGGGCTTGCCGAGGAAGCAGGTCCCCCCTTGTTAGACACTGAATTAGCCTTTTATTTTTTTAAATTTATTTTTAAAGATTTATTTATTCATACAGAACTGGGGTACAAGCCAGAGGTGCAGGGGCAGTGAGAGGCTTCCACCAGATCCAGAGTGGGGAGCAGAACGGGCAGATCGACGAAGCACACTGCTGAGGGGAGCAGCAGGCGGGTCAGGAGAGGTCTGCTGTGCCCTGTGGATTACCTCCGGGGTGGGGATCGAACTTGCCCTCAAGCAGCTGCAGCCAACTGTGCCACCACCGGTGGGGCCTTTTAAATCAAAGCCCCATCCCCCCGGTGCTGCCCAGCTGTGTCACACCCGCTGAATGTCCCCAGCTCCACCCATCCCTGACACCACCTGGACTCAGCAGTTAAGGTTAAGGGCTCAGTTTTATCTTTCTTTTTTTTTATTTTATAACAGTTTATTTTTACATCATTTTGTACATTTTTTTCCCATCTCAGTTGTAATTCCCGCAGGTTTCCCATCACCAAGTCACCCGTGTGCCATCACCATAATC